GTGAACAAGGAAGTGAAGGGGAGCACTTATGTGGTGACAGTCAAGAAATGATGTACGACTGAAATTTCACATTGATGTAAATTATTATGAACTCAACAACGAGAAAAAAGACCCATATATATGCTGCATACAAGAGACACACTTCAGACCTAAAGACACTCACAAACTGAAAGTGAAGATATGGAAAAAGATACTCCATGCAAATTGCAATGAAAAGAAAGCTGGGGTAACAATACATATCTCAGACAAAATAGACTTTAAAACAAAAACTTTAACAAGAGACAAGGAAGGGCGCTACATAATGAAAAAGGGGACAATCCAACAAGAGGATATAACAATTATAAATATCTATTCACCCAACATAGGAACACCTGAATATATAAAGCAATAATTAACAGACATAAAAGGAGAAATAAACAGTGACCCAATAATAGTAGGGAACTTTAACACCCCACTTACACCAACGGATAGATCATCCAAACAGAAGATAAATAAAGAAACATTGGCTTTAAATGACACATTAGAACAGAAGAAATTAGTAGATGCATACAGAACATTCCATCTAAAAACCACAAAATACACATTGTTTTAAAATTCACATGAAACATTCTTCAGGATTGATCACATATTAGACCACAGAACAAGTCTCAATAAATTTAGAAGACTGAAATAATACCAAGCATATTTTCCAACCACAAAGTTATGAAACTAAAATCAACTACAGGAGGAAAATCAGAAGAAAACACAAATATGTGGGGATTTAACAAAATGCTACTGAACAATAATTGGGTCAATGAAGAAATGAAAGGAGAAATCAAAAAAATTCCTGGATACAAATGAAAATGAAAATACAATATGCCAAAATTTAGGGGATAAAGCAAAATTCTAAGAGGGAAGTTTATAGCAATACAGTCCTACCTCAACAAAGAAGAACAACCTCAAATGAAGAGTCTAACAGTGCATCTAAATGTACTGGAAAAAGAAGCCCAAAATCAGCAAGGGAGGAAATAATAAGAATCAGAGCAGAAATAAATGAAATAGAGACTAAGAAAGCATAGAAAAAAGTCAATGAAACTAAGAGCTGCTTCTTTGAAAAAATAAAAACAATTGACTGACCTTTAGCTAGACTCACCAAGAAAAAAAGAGAGAAGGCTCAAATAAATAAAATCAGAAATGAAAGAGGAGAAATTACAAAGGACACCTTAGAAGTACAAAAGGTTATAAGAGATTAGTATGAAAAGCTATCTGCCAAAAAATTGGATAATCTAGAAGAAATGGATAAATCCTTAGAATCATACAACCTTCCAAAACTGAATAAAGAAGAAATACAGAATTTGAATAGACCAATCATCAGTAAGGCGATTGAAACAGTAATCAAAAACCTCCCAAAAAATGATTCCAGGACCAGAAGCCTTCCCTGGTGAAACATTCAAAGAAGACTTAATACATATCCTTCTCAAACTCTTCCCAAAAATTGAGGGGGATAGGAACCTTCTTAGCTCATTCTATGAGGCCAACGTTAACCTGATACCAAAACCAGACAAGAACAGCACAAAAAAAGAAAATTACAAGCCAATACCACTGATGAACATCAACACAAAAATGCTCAACAAAATACTAGCAAATCGAATACAACAATACGTTAAAAAGATCATACACTGTGATCAAGTTGGATTTATTCAGGGGATGCAGGGACGGTTTAACATTTTTAAATCAATCCATGTGATCCACCACATTAACAAAATGAAGAATAAAAATCACAAGATCATCTCAATTGATGCAGAGAAAGTATTTGACAAGGCACAGCATCCCTTTATGATAAAAACTCTGATTAAAATGGGTATAGAATGAAAGTACCTCAACATTATAAAGACCATAAATGGCAAACCCACAGGTAATATCATTCCCAATGGCGAAAAACTGAAAGCTCTCCCTCTATGAATAGAAACCAGATAAGGATGCCCACTTTCACCACTCTTATTTAACATAGTATTGGAAGTCCTAGCAAGAGCAATCCAGCAAGAAAAAGAAATAAAAGAGATTCAAATTTAAAAGAAAGAAGTGAAGCTGCCACTATTTGCAGATGGCATCATTTAATGTATAGATAACCCTAAATAACCCACCAAAAACTTTTAGAAACAGTAAATGAATATGGTAAATTGCAGGATACACAATCAACATACAAAAGTCAGTTGTGTTTCTATCCACTAACAACAAAGTATCAGAAAGAGAAATTAAGAATACAATACCATTAACAATTGCAACAAAAAGAACGAAATAACTAAGAACAAACTTAACCAAAGAGGTGAAATATCTGTACACTGAAAACTATAAAATGTTGTTGAAAGAAATTGAAGAAGATACAAAGAAATGGAAAGATATTCCACGATCTTGGATTGGAAGAATTAACGTTAAAATGGACATACTTCCTAAAGCAATCTACAGATTCAATGCAATCCCTATCAATGTTCCAACAGTATTTTTCACAGATATGGAACAAAGAATCCTAAAATTTATATGCAACAACAATAGACCCCAAGTAGCCAAAGGAATCTTGAGAAAAAAGAACAAAGCTGGAGTTAGAACACTCCCTGATTTCAAAATATACTACAAAGCCATAGCAACCAAAACAGCATGGTACTGGCACAAAAATAGACACACAGATCAATGGAACGGAATCAAGAGCCCAGAAATAAACCCACACATCTATGGAGAACTAATTTTTGACAACGGAGCCAAGAACATACAAGGGAGAAAGGAAAGCTGCTTCAATAAATGCTGTTGGGAAAACTGGACAGCCACTTGCAAAAGAATTAAAGCAGATCATTATCTTGCACTGTACACAAAAATTAACTCAAAATGGATTAAAGATTTAAGGGGCCGGCCTGGTAGCGCAGTGGTTAAGTTCGCACGTTCTGCTTCTCAGCGGCCTGTGATTTGCCGGTTCGGATCCCCGGTGCGGACACGGCACCACTTGGCAAGTCATGCTGTCGTAGGCATCCCATGTATAAAGTAGAGGAAGATGGGCATGGATGTTAGCTCAGGGCCAGCCTTCCTCAGCAAAAAGAGGAGGATTGGCAGTAGTTAGCTCAGGGCCAATCCTCTTCCTCAAAAAAAAAAAAAATATATATATATATATATATATATATAAGTTTAAAAAAAAAGAATTGAAGACTTGAGAACCTAAAACTTTTAGAAGAAAACATAGTCAGTATGCTCTTCAACATTGGTCTTAGCAGCACATTTTCAAGTACCATGTCTGACCGGGCAAGAGAAACAATAGAAAAAATAAACAAACAGGACTACATTAAACTAAAAAGCTTCTGCACAGCAAAGGAAGCCATCAACAAAACGAAAAGATAATCTACCAATTGGGAGAAGATAGTTGCAAACCATATATCTGATATGAGGTTAATATCCATAATATACAAAGAACACATACATCTCAACAACAACAAAAAATAACAACCCAAGTTAAAAATGTGCAAAAGATTTGAATAGACATTTTTCCAAAGAAGATATACAGATGGCCAACAGGCACATGAAAGACTGTTCAACAGCATTAGCTATCAGGGAAATGCAAATTAAAACTACAGTGAGATGTCAACTCACTCCTGTCAGAGTGGCTGTAATTAACAAGACAGAAAACACCAAGTGTTAGAGAGGATGTGGAGTGAAGGGAACTCTCATACACTGCTGGTGGGATTGCACACTGATGCAGCCACCATGGAAAACATTATGGTGTTACCCGAGAAGAAGGGGGAAGGGAGGAGGGAGAAAGTTATGATTAGGTACATGTGTGTGGTGCTGGATTGTAATTAATCTTTGGTTGGTGAACATGATGTAATCTACACAGAAAATGAAATATATAATGATGTATACCTGAAATTTATATAATGTTATAAACCAATGTTACTGCAATAAAAAATAAATAAAAGGAAATTATACTTAAATCTTGATGCCTCAAATCTACTTTTTTGACTAGTTGGAAACATAATTTCCTCTCGGACCTTCTCCCATACATTTCTTAGACTCTTCCTGACTGCTTACAGGTACTACTATTTGCCCTCAGTTTGAGGACCTGGATGCGGTGTTCTGGGAGGAGGTCCTCATAAGCTCGGAACTATTCTCTGCACTCCAAAGTCTCTCTGGTCCACATCTCTTGCTGCCATTTGCTGATTCTCTTCTTGTTAGAGGCTGCTGTCCTTGGTGCTGCTTGCACCACTGACTGGCACTCCTGGAGAGTGACTCTCACTGTCCATGGGATGCTGCCTATATCTTGTCTTTCCCCCTTAGGAATTTTCTCTCTCTTAAGTCAATAAAGAAACATTTGCCCCTTTTCACCACTCTTTCAGATGGATTTCCCACAGCTGGCACTTAGTGACATGGACCCCTCTCCCAAATACAGCTTTATTCTTCCTGGAACCCAAAGTACGGAGGCATTTGGAGCAAAATTTAAGCACAGACATAGATTACACCTGGATTCCTTGTACCCTCGAAAGGCCAGGCATACATTCCAGATTGCATTTTGAACCTACTAACATGGAGACAATACATACAAGTCCTCTTTCATAATAAAACTATGTATTTCCTCTTTAAGAAGGAAACAATTGTTTTTCCTCAGCAAATTAGCTTGCTAGTTGAATTCACAAGCCTATGATTAAAAACCTCAAATCAGATTGCACTTTTCTAAAGTCTATGTTATACTTTCTGTTGGCTAAACTTCTGACTCCGAAGGGGAAAAGCATAAAATTTGAAGTACACTTTTGTGCTTGAGTTATTTTCCAGATTTGCAAAGCATCATGTTATTTACGCAAAGTCATGAACGATGGCTGGTGTAAAATCAACGATGTCCATAAATTGTATCAGTTGATATACATAAGTCATCAGTGAACTCAAAAGCTTCTTTTCTTAAGGTCTGTTGTTTTCAGAACTAAAAAAAATGTTCAGTGTAACACTAGGTGACAGGAGGTAACAATTTTAGTTACTTCTTTCCTGCCTCAGTAGAACTTATATGAATAAAAGTGATTCTGCCATTTTTCCTGAAACTTAAACACAAATGGCATGCATTTCAAGATGTTTGTCTTCGGTAGTAGACACCCAGTGTTTGTCAGTCAGTTGCATAATGAATTAGGAGTCTTTGAGCAAAGGAAGTGGGTGTCCTCCTTTGAGCCTACTGATTGCCTTGCATCTATCTCTACATCCACTGTCAGCTCAGGTCATGAGGGCTCCCGAGTGACACTAAGCTTTGCCATCTGAGTCATGTGAATCATTGGCTCTACTGGCCTTCCAAGGTTGGTGCTGTTGCTTCTGTAGCCTTCAAATAATGGATGTTGAATAATTAAATAGCAAAACTGAGCTGCTCCATGTAGGAGGACTGTTTGATCCTGTGAGAGCAAAAATATCTTGAAGACCAAAAATTCTGCGTGGGTTGGGAGATGTGTCATATATCTGCATCTAGTTTATTTATTTATTTATCTACCATCAACCTCCTCCTCATCATCATTATCATCATCACCAATCATTTATCATCTATATATCTACGTATAAATCTGTATTAATCTGCTCTGGATGTCATAACAAAATGCCACAGATTAGGTGACTTAAATATCAGACATTTATTTTCTCACAGTTTTAGAGGCTGGAAGTCCAAGATTAAGTGGCTGGCAGGGTTGGTTTCTGGTGAGACTTCTCTTCTTGGTCACCTTCTGGTTGTGCAAATGGCTGCCTTCTTGCTGTGTACTCACATGGCCTTCCCTCCGCATGCATGAGGAGAGATACAGAGGTCCCCAATGTCCCTTATTCTTGTAAGGACACCAGTCCAATTGGGTTACAGCCTGCCCTCAAGACCTTGTTTAATCTTAATTACCTCCTTAAAGGCCCTATTTCCAAGTATCGTCACATTGGGGGTTAGGGCTCCAACATATGAATATTAAGGGGACGCAATCCAGCCCGTAATAATACTTAATCAGATAATTTGAAAGCGCTCTCCCATTAAATGGACTGGATTATATTTTAGATATTTCTTAGTACTGATGCACATTTCGTGAAAAAATAGGATGTATGTCGATAGAATGAATCCTTTTGGTCATTTCCATTTGGTAGCTAGAAGACAGCATATACAGCAGAACATCAGCAATGCCTCTATCAACTACAAACAAAAGGAAAAAAAAACGTTTTGGGCTAATTGTTTATGCAAGATAGTACACTAAAAGCTTTCGATCACATTTTGATCAAATGGCCATGTCGTACCCTTGTGATCCTGCCTAGACCTTTTCCTTGTCCTCTTCTATTCCATAGGCCCAGATGCTGAAGGCTCACCTGCCTTCACATGAATCTCTACTGTGAAAAGAATGCAGCATTTACTCAAATGCTGCCCACTCTGCTCCTAGAGATCAACAGACTCAGGGACAGAGGAGGCCTGCAGATATTTCACACAGCCTCACGTTCCTTAAAGCCTAGCCTCCTGGGAGGCTGAGTCCTGGAAGCAGAGGGTGCATGGTTGGAGAAAACAGGGAGAATGGCACAGGCTGCCTTTCAGGGCTTTGGAGGTCACTCAGGGTAAAGGGCTAGTGGCCCAAGGCCGATGATGCACAAGGAACATTCTCATAGTTTTCTCTATCATCATCATGGGCCCTGTCACTACTCCTGGCCTGACTTGCAGAGTCATCTGGATGTGACTTCTTCAACTCTGAATAGATGACTGTGAGTCCCTGGTGGGAAAAAACACAAACAGTAAATGCCTAAATATAGGTGAAGAAGAGCAGAAGGGAAGGAAAGCCAGTAAGTATGACCCACCTCATGCTCCTGATGCATCCTTGGTGAATTTGCTGTTGGATGGGAGAAGGGAAAAAGGTCTTAAACTGTGGGTGATATATTCCAAGTTACAGCCTACTCACAATGCACTCCAGGTCAATCTTTCCTCTGCTGACTCATCTCTTGACTGTTTCCTCTGCTGAATTCTTCCAAGCCCTCACAGACAAAAAATTACCTTCCTACACACACTCACACACACTCATAAGCCTTTCCCTTGCCCACCAAATGCCCAGAATGACTTTCTTGATTATTTATTTCTTTCTCCACTGCCATCACAACCCCAGCAAAGAAGCTCACCACCCCAACCCCCCAGAGCTTCTATGACTATATTCATCATCTGGGAGAAGGTGGCAAATGTGATTCACTACACTTTGCATGGAGGAAAAGTGGAGGAGTACAAACAGGGGCTCAGTATTCTAAGACTACGCAGCAATTTCCCAGGAAGCCAATGATTTGCAGCAGGGCATTAAGAAAATTCAGTATATGTATTCCTTCCATCCTTCCAAGGGGTATTTTAGATCTCTTTCATTTATTTATTAGCCAATAAGCATTCATTGAACAATGACCTTCTATTAAGAACTGGTAAGCTATAAGGAGACAGAAATGACACAAACTCTGTCCATATTATCAAGAAGCCTATAGTTTTTAAGGGGAGGAATGGACATGAGAAAAATGCAATGAGTATTATGAGCACCAAGATAGACATACACATTGAACTATGCTATGTAACTAGGAAAGGGTAATCAGTTCCTCCCCGGTTAGGGCATAAAGAGGGCTGGTGGGAATCACTCCAAGTTTCACAGTGGTTCCTAAACTGTGTCTTGAAATGTGAGCAAGGTTCCCCAGGTAAACTAAGGGCAAGGATATTATAGGACAAATAAGAAGCATGAGCACCAAAGAATGAAAAAGCCCAGTATAATCAGAAAAATGGCCAAGAGTTCAGTATGGCTAGAGTAAGCTCATAGAGGAGGGCCAAAGCACAGAGGGAGCCAAGGGTCATACTTTAAAATGGAGAGTCATCACGGGCAGTTAATCTAGGCAATGATGTGACCAACTGTGCATCTCAGAGGGATCATGCTGGAAACATATTGTTGGAAGGTTGGAGGAGAACAAGATTAGAAATAAAGAGATTAATTAAGAGAATTACAATTGTCTAAATATTAGATTATGAAAAGCTTATTAGCAATTATGTTCATTCCTTCATTCAAAAAATGTTTGAGGGAGCCTGTGGTTTTCCAAGCATTGCACTAGATGTTATTGATACGTTAGTGAAAAATTATAGTGTCTGTCCTCAAAGAGTTTGTGGGGTAGTGGTGGCAGTGTAGAGAGGTAAAAGGGAATAGATATGATTATATGATTGGTAATACAAGAGAAGCAGGTAGTTTCTTCCATTTTGGATTCATATTTGAGATGACTTTTTGATCAAAGCTTCCTTGCTAGATCTAAAAATACACTGTCACCTCATCTCTACTTGTCTGGAAGGTGTCTTACCTAAATTTTCTTTTGTACGCTGGATGCTCCAGATCTCAGAATAAACCAGGCCACTATCTCCAGGATTCACTGTCAAAGAATAGACCAAAGATGGCTGTAGGCAATAGCCCACACTCTAGACCCTTCCTCCCAGCTACCAAGTTCTATCCCCAACATAGCGACAGGAACGCCATTTTTAAATTTATTGTGAATGGCCATGGACTGTTGGTTAATCTCTCCTCCCTCCCTCTGTGCCGTAGGAAGTCCTTACCATTGCTGTACACTGGCTGCAGATCCATCAGGACTGGTGGCTCAGAGTGAGTTGGCTCTTGGGTGCCTGTCCTGAAAGGCTTGGACAAGGAAGGCCCCTGACACTCATTGGGACTGTAACTGTGACAGAGGGGGAGAGAGACAGGGAAGACAAGTATTTGTGGATCATACGGAGTCTCAGGGAAATCAATTTCCAGGAAGAGCCCAGCATAGTTCAGGTAAAAATATCATGGCTACTCTAAGAGACTGCATGACTTTTTCGAGAAGATGTCAGAAGGGGTGTAGCACAAGATGAAGCCCAGGGCAGCATTACAGAGAAGGCTGTCTAAGGCAAGGTTAGAGGGCTAAAGCTACACAGTCTCAAGGCACCTTAGATAGAGCAAATACTTATATTTGCCTGATTTTTTATTGTTTTCCAAAATTTAAATGCTTCAACATTGATACACAAAGACTTCTGCATTCCCAAAGAATTTGACTTTTGTCTTTTGTTAAAAGTCCCTTTCAATTTTCTCTCATATTACAACAATCTACTTTTCCTGTAAGAAACGATGAAGGCTCTTCATGAAATGTGTTGTGTTTTTTTTCTCAATATCATTTCCTTCTGCAGTTAATATTATGAATCGAACATTGTTGGCATTCAATAATCATTTCCAGAATGAGTGTGTGAGTGGAGGAATGAGAAATAAGGCAATAAATGAATTGTAGTCCTAAGAGAAATGATGTCATTAAGTTATCAGTGGTCAATTCTGTACTGAAGCACATCTAAGGAAGTAGATAAATTAATATGGATAGCAAATAACATGAATTCTGTGTATAAGTAAGTATAAGTGAGTATTTTTCACAAATGTGATTGAAAGCAGCCTTCTTAATCACATTTTTGGATTTCATAAGAATTTGAAAATGTAAATAGGAAGTTCAGTCAGATATTTTTTAATGTACATATTCCATGTTCCTATCTTGTGGGTATAAATAAATCATGAAAATGTTCACAGCACAAGAAGCAGGGACCTCACCTAGGTATTCCGGTGGCAGAAAGTCCTCCTGAAAAAACAAAGGAAGATTGATGATAAGTGAGCTGCGCAGACAATGAGCTGTATGTTAGAGTGTCCCTTCCTAGCAATCAGATTCATTCTAGATCTCAGTCATTGAGAATCTTAGAGAACATCCAGCTCCACCCACCAGCATCCCCCTGTGTCATGTTATAGATAAGGAAGGCGGAATCTTGAAAGACATTTGCACAGGATCACACTTATTTTGACTCACTATTCACTCAGTAATAACAGCATGAACTCTAAGTAGTTGTGACCAAGTAGCAGAAGAGAGACAGCTAAATGTTTAACTCTGGGCCAACTGCTTCCCTCATTCCCACTTCTCTTCATTTGTAAAAGAGATGAGAAATTGGCGATTTATAATAGAAGCCAATATTCACGCGCCAGGCACTGTTCTAAGCAGATTACATAGATTGTCTCATAGTATCTAAAAGATAGACACTATTATTATGACCATCATATTGCTACAGAAACTTGGGTCTGGAGAATTTAATTTACTTGCCAAATATCAAGTATTTGGCAAGTTACATTGCTGGAATTTTAATCCACACAATTAATGATAAAGTCAATAAATTTATCACTCCCTTTAGTAACTTGTAGGATATACTCAGGCTTAAGGAGCAAAAATCTTCACTTCTGGAAAAATTTGGAAGGGTTCAGTTCTTCTCTGAGAAGTCTGGCCAATAATTAGAATGAAGACTTTACTATTAGGGAAGTAGATTAGGCAAGATTTTGAGGTGAGAAAGGCAGAGAACATCTGATTGGTGGACTGTCAGAAGTCCTTAGCTGAGTTTGCTATTTAAAATGACACTTCCCCTAGGTCTCAGGATTTCCTGGGTTTCTGCCCTCATGGATTATATAAAATGACGGTTGGTAATCTTTCTTTAAGCTGATGTTGTGTTGACTGAGCAAATCTGTTTTTCAAAAATTATCAACTTCAACACTGAGGTTCTAATGTCTTCACTTTTAGCATGTTACTTATTAATAAATGACATCCTGGATAGGCAATGAGATAGAAAAGTAATTTTGAAATTAGGAGGTGAGACCAGCCTTTTATAAGTCACCAAGGAATAATGAAAAGAATATGGGCTCGAGGGTTAGGAAGATCCAGGTTAAGCCCTACCTTAATAGATATGTGAGTCTGGAAAAGTTACTTAACTTCCCCAAATCTCCATTTCTTCATCTCTAATATGATAATAATAATATTAGTTGAATTTAACTGAAATTATTTATTGAACAATTGGCAGCACTAATAGACACAAAATAAATGACAGATTTTATGATGAGTACCATTGGGGTTAGTGCTGTTATTCTCTTTACATATTTTTTAAAAATTATATACACGTATGATTTTATATGTAATGTTATTCAAGAAAATACTAAGTAGCTTTAAAATATCAATCACAAAATGTTGATGTCATTTTTCATACAAAGAAATAGAAGGCTGGAGGCTAATTGATTGACCTGGAAAGAGGGGTAAGAAGACAATGCTTGACCAGCATCATTGAAAAAAATATGTAAGCTTTTTCATTAAACTGAGATCCAGATGTTTTATTTATTTTTTTGCTTATTTTCTTGATTTTCATTATGAGCCCTGAGAAAGTGTGAACAGAAAGAAGCATTTAGCCTGATGGAAAAGGAGATGCCATGTTACGTCACACGGAGAGAAAGACAGAAAGTAAAAGATTAGTAATTCCAAAATATAAAGTCTTCAAACCTTACAAACACCCAAAGCACTGAATAAAACAGTCTACACATTCAAAGATTCCCGATCCACGGAAAAACATTCAGAGAGAAAAAGAAACAGTCACAGAAGAACAAAGATAAGAATGATAGCAGATTGTTTTTTTGTCTGAAGCAATGCACACAAGAAGACAGTAGAGCAACGTCTTTAAAATACTGAAAAAAAAGAATTTTCAACCTTGAATTCTATGCCAGCAAAAATATCTTTCACAAATGAATGCAAAATAACAACTTTTGCAGACATACAAAAGCTGAAATAATTCATCACCAGCAGGCTCATACTACAGGAAATGTAAAAAGAAACACTTTGGGCAGAAACAAAATGATACCAAATGAAAATATGGATATACAAAGAGGAATAAAGGACGTTGGAAGTGGTGAATTCATGAGTAAGTATATAAGATTTTTAGATTATGTTAAAGTCAGATATACTGTGATGAGTTAGAGATGTACACTATAAACTCTAAAACGGTCTCTAAAGTAGCAAAACAAAGAGCTATGTAATAAAAAAGCCAACAAAATAAATAAAATGGAATCATAAAAATACTCAGTTGATCCAAAAGAAGGCAGAGCAAAAGGAAAAAAGAACAGCTGAGACAAATAGAAAAGAAACAGCAAAATAATAAATAAATCTAAGCTTATCAATAATCACATTAGTAAATGGTCTAAATGCTTTAGTTAGAAGGTAGAAACCCAACTGGGAGAAGATATTTGCAAACCATATATCTGATAAGGGTTTAATATCCAAAATATACAAAGAACTCATACATCTCAACAATAAAAAAACAACAACCCCATTAAAAAATGGGCAAAAGATCTGAACAGAGATTAATAAATACGTTTAGCAAGGTTGCAGGACGTGAGGACATATAAAAATCAACTGTATTTCCATATACTAGCAATAAACAAACAGAAATTAAAATTTTAATTTCATGCTCATCATTCTTTGTTAGTTTTATCCAAATTTCACTATACTTGACAGGTATTCAAATATATTTCAGAGTTTATGGTTTACACCTAGGGCTATTGTCTTGTTGTTGTTATAAATAGAGGAGTTTATTTCTCATTCTTTTTGTTTTCAGTAAGCTTTGGCTGGGGGTGGAACAGTAAATACTTAACTTTCTAATTTTTAATTGGAAGCAAAGCTCTGCTACCTGATTTAAATCTCACATTAAACACATGGAGTAACAACTTCATTGAAATACTTATTCTACCTTTTTGTCACAGTTGCCTGCAGAGTGCCAGACAGTAGAACTAAGAGCCTATTACTTGGAGGGAAAAATTGACCCTTATCAGATGCACCACACAAGTCCAAATTAAGTCACATAAATTAAGTCCACATAAGTCACAACATCAAAGGGTGAGAAGTAGGTACTGACCTGATTTCCTTTGGGTCTTGAACTTGCACACCAGAGCAGCAGTAGCAGCAAGGACAAGGATAATTAGCAGCCCTGAGATGACTCCCACAGTGATAAGGATTATTTTGCTCCTGGAAGGCACTAAATGGAGAGACCTATAGTTGAGTTCCAGTAGCAAATATTTCTGATCTAGGCAAAGACCATGTGGGTGGGAGCTAGAGACCTATCAGGACAGATTTTTGCCAGGTTCTGATTTCTCCGTTTGAATTATCTCTGGTATAATTTGTAAATTTCAAAATAATGGCACATGGAGGGTGATTGGCAGCATCTAAGATTAAAATTTATTTCCTTTTCTTCTCCTCCATGAAATCAGTACCAATCTCCAGAAGCCCCAAGCCTTGGTGTCATTTTCAAAATCTCTTAGACATTGGTAGAATTTGTACAATCTGTTGGAGAAATATTTTATCAACATAACTATAACCTATAGCCCAGGTACCACCAACCCACCTGTGAAGTTGAGTCTCACCACCTCACTGCATTGCACCCCCAGACCATTGTTTGCCCCACAGAAGTAGTTCCCAGAAGGCTGTGCCATCAGAAAGAGGTTGAAGGATGCTCCTCCTCCAAAGGGGGCCAAGCTTTTCCCCAGAGCGACATTGTCATGATAAAACCAGTACAGGATTGGGGGAGAGCCTCTTTGGGCCTCACAGCGAAGCTCCAACACATCTCCCACCACAGGCTGGGTGCCGGCAGGGTTGAGAGTGAGGACAGGACGAGACACTGGAACTGAGGGAGGAAACATAGTTCACCGGAAGTTTTAGTTCAGTATATATACAGGAAAATTTAATAAAGGAAATATCCAGCATGTTTATTAGTAGGAACATGGACCCAGGATTCAGGAAAACCTGAGTTTGAATCCTGTCTCTGCCCTTTTTTAGCTCTGTAATCTTGATGTTTTAAAACTTTTTAATGTCTCTGAGTCTCAGTTTATTCCTTTGTAAGATATAATTAATAATGATTATATCTCAGGCTATGAGTAATAAATCTCATGAATGTAAAGTGCTCAGTAAATGTTAGCTATTACTATTGATAGAAATAATAATTAAAAGCAAGGTTCGCTTCTCAGCATCACTGACTCCTGAGTACTAGCTTTAAACCTACACTTCCACATCTATCGAAAGTAGGACCTCATTACTCTAGCCAATTACCTTCCTTTATTTTTCTATGCAGCATTTAGCACTAACATCTATCTGTGTATCTATTTATCTATGTCTCTCTCTCTTTCATCTATCTATCATTGTTGTATATCTGATTCCCCCAATAGAATGTGAGTTTCAAAAGAATGAGGACTTGTCTGTTTGTTCATTATATTTCCAGCTGCTGGAACTTAACCTGGCATGCAATAGTTCCTCAATAACTGGTGATTGCATGGGTGACCAAACTGATCAGATTGGCATAAAAATGTCCAGATACAGCAATAGCAACAATGATTTCCTTTTTAATTGATGATTATAGAACTAGGTCAGCCAGGAAGAACAGAAAAATCATTTTTACTAATATATGGAATTATTAATAAATAATGTGGAATGTGAACTGTGATTGCTTGTTCTGCTAAGTCGTGAGGGAACCTGGATGAGCGAATTTGTGTGCAGTGCTTTAGATATAAGCTGTGTGTGTCATTGGCAAGAGAAGGTTGGTAAGGATCTCAAACTCTGCTCTGCATCAGAGATTGACTCAAAGGGAAGCACGGGAATCAATTCTTGAACGGAAATGGTTTCTCTTGAAAATGCGCCATCTGCTGGCTGCAAAACAGATGGCACCAACTGCCTCAGGGTGGAAATACCAACACTGGCTTTTGGAAGTGTAGGTTTCCTGCTAAATCTAAACAGATGGCTTGAGTTTGGCCCTTCTGTACATCCTTTGACATATAAAGTGACCTGGGCCAAATGCTAAGGGCCTCAGGGGTAAGTCTTTATATGTACTTTGTGCATCTCAGTGTGCCTTTCCACCCACATTATGGCCTCATATTTCTTTTTATCTCCTTTTTTTTTTTTTAAGATTGGCACCTGAGCTAACATCTGTTGCCAATCTTCTTTTCTTTTTTTTTTCTTCTTCTTCTCTCCAAAGCCCCCTAGTATATAGTTGTATATTATAGTTTTGAGTGCCTTTGATTGTTCTATGTGGGACGCTGCCTCAGCATGGGTTGATGAGCAGTGCCGTGTCCACATCCAGGATCCAAAAAGTCAAAGCCCTGGGCTGCCAAAGAGGTTCTGCAAACTTAACCACTCGGCTACGGGGCTGGCTCTCCAATTTCTTTTTATTGCAGTAAAATACACACACCATAAGATTTACCATCATAATCATTTTTAAGTGCTCAATTTAGTGGTATTAAATATATTCGTAATGTTGTGCAACCATAACAACCATCCATAACTTTTCATTTCGTAAGACTGAAACTCTATACCCATTAAAAAATAGCTCCCCGGGCCAGCCCGGTGGCACAGTGGTTAAGTGTGCACGTTCCGCTTCGGCGGCCAGGGGTTCGCCGGTTTGGATCCCGGGTGCAGACATGGCACCGCTTGGCAAGCCATGCTGTGGCAGGCATCCCACATATAAAGTAGAGGAAGATGGGCATGGATGTTAGCACAGGGCCAGTCTTCCTCAGCAAAAAGAGGAGGATTGGCAGCAGATGTTAGCTCAGGGCTGATCTTCCTCAAAAAAACAAAAAAAAGTAGCTCCCCATTTCCCCACTCCCCAGCCCGTGGAACCACCATTCTACTTTCCATATCTATTATTTTGACCTCCCTAAGTATCTTATGTAAGTGGAATTGTATAGTATTTGTCTTTTTGCGACTGACTTCTTTCACTTAGCATGATGGCCTCAAGATTCATAAATGATGTAGCATACATTAGAATTTTCTTTAAGTCTGAATAATATCCCATTGTATGTACATACCACATTTTGCTTATCCATTTACCTATTGATGGATACTTGAGTTGCTTCTATGTTTTAGCTATTATGAATAATGCTGCTACGTACATTGGTGGACAAATATCTCTTTGAGAACTCACTTTCAATTTTTGAGGATGCATACCTTAGAGTGGAATTTCTGGATCATATGGTAGTTCTATCTTCAAATTTTGAGGAACCTCCATACTGTTCTCCATAATGGTTGCTCCATTTTACATGCCCACCAACAGAACATAAGGGTTTCAATTTCTCCACATCCTTGTCAACACTTGTTCTTTTCTATTATTTTTTATGATAGCTATCTTAATGGGTGTGAGGTGGTATTTCATTGTAGTTTTTTTGTTTTTGTTTTTGTTTTTAAGATTTTATTTTTTTCATTTTTCTCCCCAAAGCCCCCAGGTACATAGTTGTATATTCTGAGTTGTGGGTCCTTCTAGTTGTGGTATGTGGGATGCCGCCTCAGCATGGCTCGATGAGCGGTGCCATGTCCACGCCCAGGTTCGAACTGACGAAACCCTGGGCCGCCTGCAGCTGAGCACGCAAACTTAACAACTCAGCCACTGGGCCGGCCCCTAGTTCATTGTAGTTTTGATTTGCATTTCCCTAATAATCATGTGATGTTGAGCATCTTTTCATGTGTTTATTGGCCATTTATTTACCTTCTTTTGAGAAATGCTTATTCAAGTCCTTTACCTATTTTTTAACTGGGTTTTTTTTTTTTCTTGTTGTTAAGTTTCAGGAGTTCTCTAATTCTAGATACCAATCCCTTATTATATATATGATTTGTAAATATGTTCCCCCATTCTGTGGGTTGCTTTATCAATCTGTTGATATTGCATTTTGATGTACAAAATTTTTAAAAATTTTCATGAAGTCCAATTTGTTGGTTATTTTTCTTTTTTGCCTGTATCTTTGGTGTCTATCAAAAATAATATGGCTAAATCCAATGTTATGAAATTTCCCTAAATTTTATTCTAAGAGTTTTATGGTTTTAGGTCTTAAATTTAAGTCTGTTGTCCATATTAAGTTAATTTTGTGTGTGGTGTTAGGTAAGGGTCCAACTTCATTCTTTTGCATGTGGATATTCAGTTTTCCTAGCAACATTTAATGAAAAGACTGTCTTTTCCCCATTGAATGGTGTTGACACCCTTGTCAAAAATCAAGTGACCATATATGTGATGGTTTATTTCTGGGCTTGCTATTCTATTCCATTGGTCTATATGTCTGTCTTTACGCCAGTACCATTCTGTTTTGATTACCATAGATTTATAGTTAAATTCTGAGAACAAGAAGTATGATGCTTCCAGTTCCATTCTTCTTCAAGATTGTTTTGGCTATTTGGGGTCCCTTGAGATTCCATATGAACTTTAGAATGCATTTTTCTACCTCTGCAAAAAACAACATTGGAATTTTTATAGATATTGCATTGAATCTGTAGGTTGCTTTGGGTGGGATTGACATCTTAACAATGCTAAGTCTTCTAATCCCTGAACGTGGGATGTGTTTACATTATTTTGTCTTCTACAACTGCTTTCAGCAATGTTTTGTAGTTTTTATTGTCCTAGTCTTTCCTCTCCTTAGTTAATTCCTAAGTATTTCATTCTTTTTGAGACATTTTAAATGGAATTGTTTTCATAATTTCCTTTTCAGATTATTCGTTGTTAGTGTCCAGAAATGCAGCTGATATTTACGTGTTGAGTTTGTATCCTGCTACTTTGATTAATTTATTTATTAGCTCTAACAGGTATTTTGGGGGGTGTGTATAATCCTTAAGGGTTACTACATATAAAATCATGTCATTGGTGAACAGAGATAATTTTAAATTCTTCCTTCCCAACTTGGATGACTCTTATTTCCTTTACTTGTCTAAATGCTCTGGCTAGAAATTCTGATACTATCCCGAATAGAAGTGGGAAGAGCGAGCATCCTTGCCTTGTTCCTGTTCTTAGAGGAACACCATCCTGCTCCACCCTGCCTGGGACATGAATAATCCCTTTGTCTAGCATATCCACGTTGTATACACTACCTGCCCATTTGTCACTCAGTAGCGATCTTGGTTATCAGATCTACTGTCATAGTATTGCAGTGCTTGTGTTGAAGTAATCCTTATTTTGCTTAATAATGGCCTCAAAGTACAAGAGTAGTGATGCTGGTAATTTGGATATGCCAAAAAGAGGCCACAAAGTGATTCCTTTAAGTGAGAAGATTCAAGTTCTCAACTTAATAATGAAAAAGAAAATCGTATAGTGAAATTGTCCTGATCTAAGGTAAGAATGAATTTTCTATCTGTGAAATTGTGAAGGAACAAGAAATTCATGCTAGTTTTGCTGTCGTAACTCAAACGGCAAAAGTTATGACGACAGTGCATAATAAGTGCTTAGTTAAGATAGAGTTCGGTACTCTCCTTGGTTTTTGGTAACCACTGGATGTCTTGGAACATATCCCCAACAAATAAGGAGGGACGTTTAGTTCTTTTAAATTCTTTGTCTAGCGTATCTGCCATCAGGTCTTTTTCAGAGACTGTTTCTGTTGGTTTACCTTTTTTCCTTTGAATGGACAATACTTTCCTATTTCTTTGTATGTCTGTGATTTTTTCTTTGAAAATTGGACATTTGAATTTAATAATCTGGTAGCTCTGAAAGTCAGATTCTCCTCCTTCCCCAGGTTTTGCTGTTTTTGTTATTGTTTTTGTTTATTATTTTGCTTTTTTTTTTAAAGATTTTATTTTTTCTCCTTTTTCTCCCCAAAGCTCCCCAGTACATAGTTGTATATTCTTCTTTGTGGGTCCCTCTAGTTGTGGCATGTGGGACGCTGCCTCAGCGTAGCTTGATGAGCAGTGCCATGTCCGCGCCCAGGACTCGAACCAAAGAAACCCTGGGCCGCCTGTAACAGAGTGCGCGAACTTAACCACTCAGCCACGGGGCCAGCCCCTATTCTTTTGCTTTTTGATTGTTGTAGGCTATCTCTGTGCCAAAGATCACCCTGAGGTGTAGACTTAAGGTCTTCTAAGGTTTTTTCTGAGACTTTCCTTGGGCATGCACACTCACTTTCAAAATATCCCTGTATATGCAGTTGTTTTTGAATGTCCTAGTCCTTAACGTCCAGTTCCAAAAGGAAGGAAAAAAAAAGTTAAGAAGGGAAAAAAAGGGTGGCAGCCCTTTAAACCCTCTGGAAGTCCCTTCAGCTGGAGAGTGAGGGGCTTGCAACAGAGGAAGGAGGTACAACAACCGTCTGTAGCTGCCTGCGTCTGTCTGCACACCTCTGTGATCAGAAGCAGCAATTGGGCTCAGAGCACAGATTCCCCAATATTTGGAGGACAGGGTCCTTTTTGCCCACCTCAGCTCCCCACAAGCTGTGTGCAAGCTGCTCCAGGAACACATACACAGCAGCCTGCCACAGGGCTGAGGGTGGGAGTTGGGTAGCTGCTACTGTGCTAAGAGCTGAAATTGATGGAAATTAACTGCAATTTACCGACCAAGCCTTCCTGTGGGAGTTGCAAGCTTCCAGTAGACTCTAGAATCCCAAAATAATTGCCTCAGACAGATTTTCCCGTGCAATTCTAAGTAAGAAGACAGATTCCTAAGCTCGGAGTAGTGATTCTCAGCTTCTTCCATTGTATTTCTCCCTCCAGGGTTCACCAAACTTCTGGTTCTACATGCACATCCCAATAAAGTCAGAGAATTTTAGTGCTGAAAGAGACCATGGTTATCACCAAGTTCAGTGGTCTCCACGATGGGATGCAAACCAACCGAATGGGGTATGAGAAGAAAATATGAGAATGTTTGAGTATTTTAACTTGACAGTAAGCAAGAAATTCAGCTTTGCCAATAGTCACATTGGCACTCTTACTCAGGCCATGTGTCATAGCCTGTGCTGAGATCTGTAAGGGAGTTCTTGTGAAGGCAGTGGGGTACCAACCGCATGGAGGAGTTGACAGCAGGACCTTCAATTGTTTGTTCATTTTCAGCATATGGGAACATGTTGCCCTCCAAGTCGTCTATTTCAGTATTTTTACATATTATTGCAACTTAAATAATTAAAGACTTTAAAATACTTTTCAATGAAATTGACTAATAACAACAACATCTTTTTGAACCACATAAAAGTTTTTCAATTATTTGGTGGTCAAGTTCTAAAAAGAGGAGGTAAATATAAAAATTATGCATGCGTTTTTCTATGAAGAAAGATTATTATTTTACTTTTGGTGTTTTTCTTTCTTTCTTTCTTTTTCTGATGATCAGTGACTCAATAGTATAATATTTAGTTCGACATTAAAAAAAAAGACTTTTAACAGAACTCATTATTAATACTTTCTAAGTAAACTCATGCGATAGAGATAATCTTTTGTAAAATGGTTGTTTAAAAATAATTACACTTCTATGTGGTTTTATTATCAGAATATGTCAATATGTCAACTTCAAATATTTATATCTACACATTTAAAATTGTATTTAAATAGCATGTACTAACCAGTTTATATGTCTTTCAAAGCTTGAACTCATCTGTAATAAATTTAAATATGCAACATTTCTCATGTATTTTGCAAGAATAACAATGACATCAATAAAAATGGAAATGTACTAGCCAAATTTCAAGGAAAATCTTTGCATAATTAGTGTATTGGATTGAAAAATGGGTATCATAGATGCTTTGTTTCCACTTGGATCTGGATACATTGGTAAGACATCTTTTATGTGATAGCAGCCACTGAAACCAATTGGAATAACTCAAACTCATAGCCAGGCATCAAATAACTGTACCACAAAGAGTAAACCAAGACGTTGAAAATGAAAAATTCTTATTCAATTACCATTTTAATCAAAGATTCTAAGAATATTTTAAAATATTGTTTATTTCATCCTTATGTAATTTATGTTTCTGTGTTTAATAGTGTATATATTAAGCTACTACAGTAGAACATGTATGTGACTAATAAAAAGTTTGGCTGAAAGTGATGTGGGATCAGGAATGTTTTTGCCTCCGTGATTTACTTGAATCAATTACTTTATAAGTGGGGAAACTGAGGACAAGACTAGAAAAGAGACTTGTTCACCGTCAAATAAATAGATATCTTCTTGTTCAAGACTGGAATCCCAGTTTCAGCACACTATCTGGTTCTCCCAGGTTCAAATCCTCCTTAAATCATAACCCAACTTTGGACCATAGGAAGAGTCATTATTAACCTAGATACCATAAGTATTCCAATAGTTTGGAATAGTTGGAGAACAAGAAGCCATGGCAAAATCCAGAGAATGTAAGGGTTTGAGGCACTGGGAGTCACCGCCACATCTCTTAATCCTGCCACCTCCTCCTAAGTCTCAGTGCTTCTCCTCACCTTCCAAATGCTGGGTACTTTGGAATGATCATGGCATGGACTACGGGTCTCTCCTAAATAGGTGGGCACATCGCTAATTGCCAACATATGCTGGAAGTGGGAAATAAAGATGCCTTGATAGCTCTGGTGAAGAAAAATTTTGTTTGGAGATACCGAGAACATCATATTCAATGATATCCTAACATTTGAAGAGTCAGAAGGCATGTGGCGAAAGTGAGAAGGCCAGACAGGTCATCAGTGTGAAGGCCAAGAGAAAGCTCTGCTGCTCTGATAGCTGTGGGTGTCCACAAGGAGAGACACTTTGTCTAGTAATCCAGAGAGCCAAGTAGGAATTTAGATTGGAGGGGAGCAGAGGAAGAAAACCTTGGCAAGGGTCAGTTGGGTCATTTGTTCGTGGACAAAGGAATTTAGATATAAAGCTTTCTATATGACGTTCCTTCATCAGAAATTGCTAAACCATCATATATCTGGTATTTTGGAAAGTCTTTTTGCCTCTACTAGAAGACTATGTGGAATATATGGCTTTCATGACAGAGGAAATAAAGGAATTGCCTAAGTTACTGAATGTATAGCCAGAGGGAAGAATCCCAGAACCTTCAGGTGGAGGCAGAAAACGTGGGGAGTCTTCTGGGACATCACACCAGTAAATAGCCCAAAGGGTCTCTGTTTGTGAGAAGACATTATCTGTTCTTGGCTGCAACTGCTATGGACATATCCTACTTACCTGTGACGCTGAGAATCACTTTGTCGCTATGCTGGGCTCCCAGGCCATTGTCAGCCTCACAGGAGTAGTTTCCAGAATGGTCTGCAGTCAGAGAGAGGTTGAAGGATGCTGCTCTTCCAGAGGGGGCTGAGCTGCTTCCCAGGGTGGCAACTTCGTGGTAAAACTGGTACAGGATTGGAGGAGAGCCTCTCCAGGCCTCACAACGAAGCTCCACCACATCCCCTACCACAGCCTGGGCCCTGGGAGCCCTGATGGTGAGGACAGGGCGAGACACTGGAACTGAGAGAGAAAAAAGCTGTCAGAGAAGGACTCTGAAGCTGTGACAGGTTCAGAACTCCATTCGAGGAGGCTAAAAATAGATATATCCCTTGAGTCATGAGGAGCAATCCTGGAAAATTTTGTCTTCATCACTACTAAGTCCTCTCCACAGAAAGTAAGGTGTCTTCAACTTATTTTGCCCTCTTTGCCATTCCTTAATTAGCTTTTAAATTTTTACACCTCTGTTCCGTTGCTTTCTTTAGAAGAACCTGACAGAGAACCTAAACCCTGGCTTGCAAACCAAGGCTGAGTAAAAGGAATAGGGAACTTACTTCTCACTGTGATGGTAATCAGTGTACTGAGGATGGGGCCATGAATGTTGTCAGCTGCACAGTAGTATCTCCCAGCATCACTCTCCTTCACAGTGGGTATTTGGAGCTCTGCTGACAGGGAACGCTGGGTCTTTTTTTCCAAAATTCTTATTGTGCCTTCTCTGTGCCAGGAGAACGTGATAGTTCCTGTCCCCTTGGTTACTGAGCAGATAAGGACCAGATTTTCTCCTTCAATCAGCTTCCCTCCAGGGGGCTGGATTTCTAGATTCACATCAGACACAGGGACTCCTGGGAGGACAAAAGATGACACATGAGGGTCTTGATGGAAGGGACTTCAAGGTCAAGGAGAAGGCTGGTGCTGCCGTGAATAAGCCAATAGAAGCAGGTGCAATAGACAGGGGTCCAAAGTAGGAATTAAGGAATTAATTGTATATATTATTATAAAGGGAGTAATACTCCTCCTCTCATGGACAATTCCCATTCTTGAGTAATGCTGGCATCGGACCCTTAATCTTAAACCTAATGTTGAATGCTGTCACATTTTATGGACATTTGTCTCTAAGGAAAATTTGATGCACCAGTGGACCACAAAATAAGAGATAACACTTGGAATATTACTTCTATCCTGAAGTGGCTTTACTCAGAATCCAAACTCCTCTTCTATCTTTCAAGACTTCACCCTCATCTCCCTCTTCCCACATTCTTCTTTGGCTATTCTGGTTTGTGTTTATGTTCCTCTTTTCTTATTGTTTTGGAACAAGTTTACATCAAAACATGCACTCACCGTAGGGACCTCTAAAGACAGCATGTGGTCATCTGTGCTTTTAGTTATCTGTTTACACATGAGAGACAGATCTTGTGGTCTCTGTAGTCCCTACAGCACTGGGCACCCAGTAACTGATCCATAACTACTATCACCTGACTTAGATGGAAAAGAATGGTCTAGGGATATTAAGCCAATGTTGAACCACAAAAGAAGGATACTAGGATAGCTGGAGTCTCCTCACTGTTATGTTCGTTATCCCAGGGAGGAGATGTCATGTTCTGTTCTTCTCTCCTCAGCTCTGATTCCGAATGAGCAGCCCCATAGACACTCACTCTGTACACGTATCTGGGATTTCAAGCTTCTTTTCATGGTACTGTGAGTCACTGTCTCTGCCTGGCACCAGTAAGACCTTGAGTCTTCACTCCATATGGCAGGGATCTGGAGCCCTGAGGAGCTGCTCCAGCCTGACCCCAGGGCCTGATCTTCTCTGAAGAAACAGAATTGAAGCTGAATGTATGACTTCTCCGGAGGGAGCCAGGTCTCACATTTCAGGGTCATTGGGCTCCCCTCTATGGGCTGGGAGGGGCTTGCTGTCAGCACAGGAGGTGGAAACAACTCTAGAGAGAAGAACAAATACAATTCCCAAGGTAGTGAGGCTCAGCATGCCTGGAGAGATGCATATGTGTTCTCAGCAGCAGCCATCAGGAGATAGAGACTCATGCAGATCGAACCACTTCTCATCTCCCTCCCGTGGCTGGCTCCAAAGAGGCTTTTCATGAAATCCCCACTGATGAGAACCTTCCCTCAATCCACACCCACTGGTTCCCTGCCAAGCCCTTCTACCCACAGGAGTGTAGCCATTACCTTGAACTTGGATCTGTATAGGTTTTGAAGTTTCTTTCCGTGAGCCCCAGAAACCCCTTCTAGAAGCAGTACAATGATATTTGCTGTTGTCCAGGGAGTCTGAATTTATTGTGATGGAGTCTGAATTATAATTGCCACCAAGTTCTTCTCCGTCTTTGTAGTAAATCTTTTCACTAATATCCTCTTCTTTCCTCCCCCGGCATCTCAGATATACATAATCTCCTTCAAAAACAGGGTGGGAAGCCTGGAGAATCAGCCAGTCTGCAAAGAACGGAGGAACACAATCAATTTATCCTTGCTGCTTCATTCTTCAAGCTGTAATTTTTGCTCACTTTGAAAGAGCTACAGTCCTGTACACAGTTGCAAATGTCCTCCATCAACATTTCCACATAGCCCCTATCCTCGACTCTCCCTTGTTCTAGGATAGTGAACTAACCCCAGGATAGGTCCTTAAGAAATTCTCATACACATTTTTAGAAGAGGAATTTTATGCCATGCCTTTCTTCAGTCCTCAGTCCCTCTTTGTCTGGTGACTTCTGGGTAACTGACGCTTCTCTGGATGGAGAAGAAGGACTATGAAGCATCGTGCTGCTGTTCTATCTTGTTATTTCCTGGGGACAGCACTTCCAATAGCCTCATGCCTGAAGGGCTCTGCATTAACCCAGCCCTCAGATATGCTGCCCAGTGGCTTTACTTCAAAAACTCTTCCTTTCTTTCCTTACCAGATGAAAATCTCACATGCACAGGGTCACTGAGGGAAGATCCTTTGGTCTTGCATTTGTAGTATCCAGTCTTCATAATTTGAATTTCTCCAGATTCTTCTTTCAACAAATTGTCATTATAATACCAGGATATGTCTCCCCTGGTTGGAGAATTGGAATCCCTGCATGTGAGAGTCACTTTCTCTCCATTGAAGTTCACAGACCATGGAGGAGTTAGGTGAATAAAAGCTTTTGGAGCTAAACCTGAAGAGGAAATAGAGAGATGAAGGCACATGAAGGTGAATGGGAGGTGAATAGAGAACAGGGGAGGCCCTGGTCTGCAGCTGGGAGTTTTCTTGTGCTAATTCCTATTAGGACCTGGATTAGAAATGGAACAGAAACAACCTGGGGAAATGCCTGGGACAGAATCTGTTCTTCCTCATTCTTTTCTTGACCTGGATGTGAGTAGGTGGGTGTCATAGGGGATAGCTCTCAGGTCCCTGGTGTGGGCTCAGAAAAGTTCAGGAGATGCACCTTGTAGTTGGGAAAACACTGTGAGGGCCTCTGAAGGTGGGCTGATTCTGAAATGATCCTCTCCTATGCAATCTTGTCAAGCTAAAGGTGAGCCTGAGATGGATATACCTCAGAGGGAGCTTCTAGACTTTGAAAAACCACTTCCAACTTTGTTAGTATTTTGAATAAGGTTTTTTCTTTTTTAATTTTCATTACTTTTAAACCTTGCTTAATTTGAGATTCTATGGGGAAGGCAACTTTTTTCTATTCTCCATCTAAGTTGGACACAGTCAATAATTGAAGGATAGAAAGAATTTGAATGAACAGGCATGGGCCGCTTGAGAAATCATATATACAAATCAGACTTCTGTATAGAATTGCAACTGACTAATGGGACCAGAAGCAGAAGCACGAGAGTGACATGAGCTCCTTTTGGAGATATATAAAGATTTGACTGTAGCATTTCCTCTGTGGATGGGAGCTATTTCTATGTCCTTTGTTAGTGGCACTAGTTTGGACATACAGAGGGAAGGGTCTTAGGGAATAGAGGAGATCAGATCTGAGGCTCTCCCAACATGAGCCTCCTGCTTCTGCTCTTCCCTCTGCAAATGCTTCCTTCCTCTCTACACTGAAGCATCCTGATAATAGGGAAAGAACTGGAGAAATCAGGGGAGGGTCTGCTCAGCCACCATAGCAGCAGGCCTGACCTCAGAGTAGCAAAACCACCAACGTTGGCACAGCCCTGTATCCTTCATTTATGGAGGCAGGCTGTGCTGGCCAAGAGGTCCAATGCCCAGAGACCAGGAGGAATGTAGAGAAAGGAAAACTGACCTGATTGTTCTCTTCCAGGAGCTGTGAGGGGACAAGATTTAAAGATTAGCATAGAGCAATATTTTTCAAGCATTATCAGTTAGATACTCTCTGAGAAATTTTCCAACAATCTAGCCACAACCACATCTTTAGTTTTTCTTCATTTCTTTGTCCCAATGTTAGTGCCACCTAAATGACTAAGATAAATACAGCCAATGGTTAACATAGGTTAGCATAAGGGAAGCCATGTTATAGAGGGGAACAATATTAGGACTATAAATGACCCTGATCCAAAGACCCTCTCCCCTTTTTCCTTGTCAGCAATGCTTTAGTTTGCATGTAGCCTAGAAAAGTACACTCCTGCTTGTGAGAAATATGCATGCTCTGCTATTTTTATAGTCTTGGCCTATATGTAGACATCCGTATTCCAATAAGCCAATAACTTTGTTCTTTAAGTTTTCCCAGGGATGTAACAACTTTCAGGAAAAAGGCCCTGCTGGTATCTATCACTCATGACAAGAGAAAGGGATGATCTGAAGTCTCAAGGACTATAATGTCAGATGGTCAACATTGCATGACCACCTCACTTCAGCCCACTTGCCCTATATAACTGCTTCAAAATGTTGTAGTTTTAAGATGGTTCTTTATGACACTAGTCTGCCATTTTCCCCCTTGCTGGAAAGCTGTAATTAAAAGACCCTTTCTCTCCTACTACCTTGCCTCTTGACTGTTGGCTTGTCTTTGTGGAGAGTAGAACATCCCTTTTGGCAGTTACAAATTTTATGACCACGATGGGACTATAATTCCTGCTCACAGGTAGTTGACCTCAGACAGGCAGCCTGACAGTAAGTCCCTAGCAGCTGCTGAGGCCCCTTCCGTCAGGGATTTGCCTTTCCTGCTTTCCTGTGCTGACACCAGCTGCCTCCTTAGGCTAACTGTGGTAAAGCGAGAAACAGCTACATCTGGGGAGTCCACAGGCTCAACCAGGAACAGGGTAAATTGCCTTGGGAATACCCAAGAATTCCCTTCCCTTCCATCTGGGATCTTGCCTTTTATGGTAGGGCCATCTGGGTGTGCTTTCAGAGTGGGAATAGTTGTAGGACTTTATCTGAAATCTGGGAACTATTTCATTAGTGTCTGGTTTATCTAGTGCTCATTTGTGTTTCTGTGTCTGTGTGTATGCGTAGAACAAGTCAACTTTGTGTAATAACAATGGGAAGTTCGCCATCAGTTCTTGGGGCAAATTTTGAATAATTGGTCTGATTATAGCTATGAGCCAAGGACTAAGAAAAAGATGATTTTTTACTGCGACACTGCCTGGACACAATATTCCCTAGGTTCAGGTGAGAAATGGCCAGTTAATGGCTCACTGAATTGTTAACCATCTTACAGCTAGAGTTGTTTTGCAAGTGAGCTGGTAAAGATGATGAGATCCCATATGTCCAGCCCTTTATGCTATTATATCAGGATAAGGAAAGAGAGGGCAAAGATTTCCTTATGGTACAAAGAACAAAAGGAGAAAGAGGACTGGTTTGACAAGGAACTCAGGAGGAAGAGAAAGATATGACAATCATTCAAACCCTCAACCCTCCCCCTGCAGCACAAGCACAAACAGCTGCCACTGCTCCTCCTGCTCCTCAGCCCCAAGAGGCTCCTTTAGCCATGGGAGCTGAGGCCTCAACATCTTACAAGGGAAATACTGAAAAGGACACAGGCTAGCTGGCTGGGTTTTACCCCCCAGGACTAGACAGGGAACACAATTGGCCAGGTGCTACCCCCAGAGCTAGGCAATTTTCCTTAAGGCAATAGCCAATAGGAGTTAATGCTGACGGACAATCTGCTGGTTTCATATGGATGAATAACCCCTTCTCCACCTCTCATCTGTTCAACTGAAAAAATAACAACCCACCCTGCCAAGAGGACCCCAAGCAAATGACTGACTTGTTCTCTTCCATTTTTGCCATTTATTATCCGTCAAGGGCAGACATTCATATTCTGATAAATATGCTGTTAATTGGTGTTGAAAGGAGATTGGCATTACATAAAGCTAGAGAAGCCACTAGATTCCATGTGGAAGACCTCAATAACACCTTTGAATCTAATGTGGCTGTCCCATTAGTAGAACCAGATTGGAACCCCAAAGAAGCGGGGGGCTGAGCCCAAATGGAACATTTTAAATGGTGTATTCTGGTGGGCCTCAAAAAAGGGGTTCCCAAACAAAAGAATCTAAATAAGATTCAGGGACTGCAACAGAAACCTGATGAGGACCCCTCTGAATTTCTGGAAAGAGTTTACCAGGCCTACGGGCATTACACCAGCTCTGATCCTGAGGCCCCTGGAAACCTCAGGATGGTCAACATGACTTTCTTAGGGCAAAGCGCCCAAGACATTAAGAGAAAACTGCAAAAATGGATGGGGTTTTAGCAATGGACCATTCTCAGCTTATACATATTGCTTTTATGGTCTAGAATAGCTGAGAACACCGAATTAAACAAGAGGGCGTGCCAGACAATTGCCACCCTCCTGGCCTCTGCCTTAAGTGGCAAGAATATAAACTACTGGAAGAAGAGACTGGGACACCAGGTAAGCACCCCCTCAGGAAAAATCAATGTTCTTATTGTAAGCAGGAAGGATCCTGGAAAAAAGAGTTTCCTAAGAGAAACAAAACCTCCCCCTAGGTGAGAAAACTAAGGAAAAAGCCCCCTTGATGGTGGAAAAGGATCTTTGTTCTGACAAAGATTGAAGGGGTCCTGGGGCTCCTTTGAACCTAAAATAACCTATTCATATTTCTCCCCACAGGAGCCTCAGGTAAAATTGTCAGTGGTGGACAAACTGATTGATTTTCTAGTAGACACTGGCGCCACCTACGCTGTTTTAAATACAAAACTGACCAAAAAATCAACCAGGTCAACTCCGATAACTGGGGTTTCTGGCAAAGTCCAACATCAGTCGTTTGGACAGACGTTAGAATGCCAAGTGTGACATCCTTTAGAGTCTCAGGTGATTCGCCTGGGAAAGAAGAAACCTGAAAGGATGGCCATATAAAAGTTCAAAAGGGCTCAATTTAAGCCTACTTCAGGGAGATACCCTAATCCACAGCAGGGCAATAAGCAATGTTTTGTCCCAGGTGAGATGAGTTTCTTGACAGATTTTAGCAATGTTCTTTTTTTAGGGTGTGATTCGTTTTTCCAGTGGATTGAAGTCTCCAAGCTGAATGCCATTCTGATAGATATCCGAAATGTCAGGTTGCAAGTCTCTTCAATCCTGAATCCGGCCACCTTGCTCCCCAATGAAACTTCACAAACAACAGACCATAAACTGTTTACAAGTTATAGAAATGGTTTATTCCAGACCACCAAACCTAAAAGATCAACCATCTGAGGACCCTGAACTGGAACTGTTTACAGACGGCAGCAGCTTCACGGATCAAGGTCAGAGAAGCACCAGATATGCAGTTGTGACCTTACATGAGACTTTAGAAGCCAAAGCCCTACCTCTAGGAACCTCAGCTCAGAAGGCAGAAATCACAGCCCAAACCCGAAACTTACACGTATCTCAGAGAAGAAAGGTGGACATTCATACAGATTCCTGGTATGCATTTTCAGTGGTCCATGCCCACAGGGTGATAGGGAAAGAAAGGGGACTCTTAGCTGCTGATACAAAAGAAATGAAACATGCTATAGAAACATGACAGTTATTAGAGACAATTAATGAGCCCTTGCAAGTGGCCATAATACACTTGGTCACCAAAAGGACAAAGCCCCTGTCGCTAAAGGAAGCCACCTGGCTGACCAAGCAGCCAAGAAAGTGGTAAAAGGCTCTGCCATAATTGGCCCTTTGCTTCCTCAAATAAACTTGTCTGAATATCAGCCAGCTTACTCAGACAGGGACTTAGAGTGTGCAAGAGACTGGGATTTTACCTCAGACCCACAGGCAGGCTGGAAGATTATAACCAAGAACTAATTCTTGCACCTGAAGCTCTCCTCTGCCCACTCCTAAAATGGATGTATGAGAACACCCATTATGGAAGAGACAATACATTGGGTTAAAAAATATATTTGGGACCTAATTTTAAAAAGACTGTGCAACAAGTAACTACTAGTTGTATGATTTGTGCAAAAAATAATCCCAAAAGTGCTCCAGGGCCTCAACAATTAGGAGTCTAACACGTGGGGGAACGGCCAAAGGAAGACTGGCAGATAGACTTCACCTAAATGCCCTATGCTGCTGGAAATTACCCATATTTACTGGTATTGGTGGATACCTTTTCTGGGTGGGTAGAGGCTTTCTCCCCATCCAATTGGAGAGGGCCACTGAAAGTTGTCAGGGTTCTATTAAAGGAGATCATTCCTGGATTTGGCCTGCCTAATATCTTACAGAGTGACAATGGACTTGCTTTTGTTTCTCAATTCACTCAGCAGGTTTCCAAGGCGTTAAATATTAAATGGACACAGCATTCAGCTTGGAGACCCCAATCCACTGGAAAAACGGAAAAGATGAATCATACCCTAAAAAGAAATATTGTTAAAAACTGTCAAGAAACTCATCTCATTGGGGCGGACCCGGTGGTGCAGTGGTTAAGTTTGCACGTTCTGCTTCGTCGGCCCAGGGTTCGCCTGTTCGGATCCCGGGTGCGGACATGGCAACACTTGGCAAGCCATGCTGTGGTAGGCGTCCCATATATAAAGTAGAGGAAGATGGGCATGGATGTTAGCTCAGGGCCAGACTTCCTCGGTAAAAAGAGGAGGATTGGCAGCAGATGTTAGCTCAGGGCTAATCTTTCTCAAAAAAAAAAAAAAAAAAAAAGGAAAAAAAGCCCCACTCATCTCACCTGGGACAAAGTGTTGCCTATTTTCTTGCTGTGGATTAGGGTGGCTCCCTGAAGTAGGCTTAAACTGAGCCCTTTTGAAATTTTATGCAGCCTTCTTTCTCAGGCGAATCACCTGAGACTCTAGCGGATGTCACACTCAGTTTATGTCAAATCATTAAGTGCTATACTAACTTCTATTCAAGAGTTTGCCTCTAACAGGTCAGCTTGCCCATCTGATGTACACCTCCATCCTTTCCATCCTGGTGACCGAGTACTGCTGAAGACTTGGATGGAACAAGGACCTGAAAATCAACTAGCTGCCAGATGGGCGGGCCCTTTTGACATACTGCTGACCGCACACTCATCTGTCAGGCTCACTAGAATAAAAGTGTGGTTACATCACTCTGAGATAAAGGCAGGTCCAACCTCACAGGAAAGTACACCTTGTAATAAAAGGCATACTTAGCAAGTCAACCCCCTTAAAGAATTAAAATATGTATTCAAGAAAAAAACTTAGCCTTTTATATTTGTTTTCTCTTCTGACTATTACTGTAACCTGGAAAAGCAGTGCTTTGGTCCGTATCACTCAGGTTATTGCAACTTCTACTAATGTCACTAAATGCTGGGTTTGCCATCCCAAGCCCTCTTCTGTTTTTGAAAATCGGGATCTGTTGGTCTGCCCCATATGTAATTTTTCCCAGGTTCCTCCAGGTTAGACCAAAAGGCCTATAATCAGAAGAGTTATATATTGGGTTAGAATAGCCCAGTTCTCAGCTGAAATACAGGGAAATATTACCTGCTTCACTGTACCCTTAAAGAGAAAACTGCACAAATATGTCTTCTCCAGAAATCAATACGTTGCCCACATGTACAACTTCCCCAATTGAAATTCCCACATATGGATTTAGACAGCAAAAATTAAGAAATTCGTTGATGTTATTTTCAAACAAGAGCTCTCACTCATGAACTCAAATATCAGACACTAAGCCTCCCCAGATAATTCAAATAAAAATGGTGCTCAGTGTAACACCTGGCAACAATGTTATCCTACATTGTGCCTTACCTTCTACTTCCCCAATGGGCCCTGTTATCTAGTTTAGAAAAATTGAAATGGGCTATGAACAGTTCTTCCATTTTAATGGACACCATTTCCCTGGGGTCACAAGTTGCAGATACCAATAAGAGAAATAATGTGGATTTTTCAATCCATATTAACAATGTCACCTCCCTGGATGCTGGATTTTATTTCTTTATGAAGTTTCAAAAAGGCTTGTGATTAAATCTGGCATAGATACACAACTTATTATAAACACCAAACCATCCTTGTCTGCAATAAAAATCACTCCTAGAGAACCTACAGACTCAAATTTTCCAGGTCACAATTGGGTGAAAAATCCTGCACTGGCCATCAGCACAGACATTGACCATATGTATTGTACCCCTAAAGGATATATATTCATATGCAGTCATAATGGAATCACCTGGGCACACAACTGTCTATGGAGTAGAGCAGACTCAGGACAACATCTATAGGGCACCCTAATAATACCTTTTAATTTATGCTCTAATGAAGAAACTAAACATAGGGCAAACTCCCTAAAACTGCTCACTAAATTCAGCAGAGATTTTCCTTGTGGAATTCCTGATGGGGATGCTTATTTCTTTGGGTACCTTCTGTTACATTGGTGGGGAGTTGCAGCCCACCAACATCTCGTACTCTTGAAATGACAGCTAGTGAAACAGCTTTAGCTCTTGCTAATTTACAAACCCCTCTTGACTCTTTAACCAAAGTCATCTTGGATAACAGAACAGCTCTGGATGACATCCTTGCAGAACAAGGCGGTGTGTGCATGGTCGCTAACACCACCGGCCGTGCTTGTATCAATACTTCTTCCCAAGTAGAAGCCAGTGTTAATAAAATAAGAGAACAAGCCACCTGGATACAAATGACCTAAAATCATAAAACCCCTTTCCTGTCAGGAACAGGTGACTGGTTTACTAACCTTTTCTCCTGGATACCAGCAGGAATTCAATACATTCTTGTGGGTATCATAAAAAGTGGCCTAACAGTAATATTAGTAGGTTTAGTAAGATATTTAGCCATTAAAAGTGGAATAAAATGTATATCCACCTTAACCACCAAAGCTTCCAAGTCAATAGTGCAACGGTTCCCCCTTAGACACCCCTGGCTCATTTTTAAAAGAGAGTAAATCTATCCCATGCCATGGTGCCCACATGCCACCCACCTTCAGCAGGAAGTAGCAGACTGGACACGACGGCCCTATTATCTACACCAGCATATGCTTATGCCCTGGGGTGGAGGGATACAACTGACAGGGGAGAAATTGTTAGTGCTGCTTAAATAGCTAAGATAAATACAGCCAATGGTTAACATAAGTTAGCATGAGGGAAAGCCATCTTATAGCAGGGAACAATGTTAGGACTATAAATGACCCTGATCCACAAAACATCCCCCCCTTTTTCCTTGTCAGCAATGCTTTAGTTTGCACGTAGCCTGGATAAGTACACTCCTGCTTGTGAGAAATATGCATGCTTTGCTATTTTAATAATCTTGGCTTATACGTAGACCTCCCTATTCCAATAAGCCAATAACTTTGTTCTTTAAGTTTTCCCAGGGATGTAATGACCTTCAGGAAAAATCCTTCTGCTGGTATCCATCACCAGTGACAAGAGGAAGGGATGATCTGGAGTCTCCAAGACTACAGCACCAAATGGTCAACATTGCATGACCACCCCCCTTCAGCCCACTTGCCCTATATAACTGTTTCAAAATTTTGTAGTTTTAAGATGGTTCTTTAGAACACTAGTCTGCCATCTTCCTACTTGCTAACAAGCTGTAATGAAAAGACCCTTTCTCTCCTACCACCTTGCCTCTTGACTGTTGGCTTGCCTTTGCAGATAATAGAAGAACCCTTTTGCTGGTTACATCAATTCTATACCACCTATAGCCCCCAAATAAACAAACAAAAAGTAGTCTATAATTTATTTTATAAACTTGATTGATTGTATTCACAACTCAGTCTCATCTCTTTGCTGTTGCATACTTCATTCCCTCCTTCTCTTCTCTAGCTAAAAAGTAGCAATGCAGAGGCAGAAAAGGGCTTGGAGAAATGGTTTATCCTCCTCCTCATTTCTTGGACCTTCTTCCTCCTACTTTTTCAATCTCTGATTCAATATTGGCTTAAAATCTCAGGAAGGATGTCATGTTTCTCAGTAGGTCTTCCCTCACTCGCCTAAGTTTTGGAAGTAATTTTTTTATCTGAGGGTCTTAGAGCTGTGATTTGGCAGAAAGAAAAATCCAAGCTTCCTATGAGATGAAAATTAAATGGGTGACATTCTCGACTTGCTCTGCTAGTTTTAATCAGAGCCTTTGGTTTTCCTGGTGATAAATAAATAGCAAACAATAGGATATATTGGAGTATATGAGGAAGCAATTTGGTGTAAAACTAATTCGGTCTGATCTTATTTTTCCAAAAAGGCCTGATGTGGCCGTTGAATATGCATTGTATATCTGCTTTAAGTATTTACTATGCCCAAAAGACAAGACCAATGCCCTTTAAGATAAAGATGTAACTTTCCCCACATTGGCATTTCCTTAAGGATAAACATCTCTCCCTACACTAGGAATTAATTCTTGGCCTGCTGCGTTCACCTTATGACCACCCAGCTCAAGACCACAGACCTGCTACCTGCTGTGTGAATGGCTGTGCCAGCAAACCAATCTCGTGATTATTGTAAAAGGGATATTCCAATCATACATGATACATACTATTTGATAGCATATAACTACTGTGTCAACTCCCGCTTCTTTGGAGTGCTCCATTCCTTCATGAAACGACTCTCCCAGGCTATATGCCCCTCAGATCTGGTTCATAATAAACTCACCCTAATTTTGACTTACACATTGGTTATGGATTATGTTCCCCAACACTGGGAACCCAGCTCTGCTCATTTTCATTCTCCTACTAGCTGTCTCTGAACTCTAAGTGGAAGTGGAGACAAGCGCCTTGGTTGTTCCCCTGGCTGACATTAGAAACTGAGGCCCCTGTCCCAGTCCAATCATCTACTCACCCAGGATGAGCAGCAGCAGCCACAGATGCATGGTGACCTTGTCCTCACTGAGGGCAAGGAAAGTCTGTCTCATGAAAATCCAGCATATCTTCCATCCACACAGGAGGACAGGAGAGTTGCACTCAGATGAATTCTGCAATAATTATAAAAGGGGAAGTAAAGAATCATGTCTTGCCTTGGGTTCTAAAAATATTAACATGGCTAGCTTCCTAAATTCTGTTTGTATTTCAACACTGGCAACTGTGCACTTTTAGATATTGGTGGTCATCTTCCAACAGTTCAAGTCTCTCAGGAGAAATCGCCAAAGTTGTGCCTGGGTTCTCGGAAAATGCCAAACTGTAGATTTGCTAGTATTCAAACAATATTTTCTTCATTTTTCAAATGGAAAACCCCTTTATTACCAATTCACAAAACCTTTGGTTCCACTGAGGCTCCTAATATAGACACACCTGGTGAGGGTGGTGTCTTACTATGATTTATGGTGTTAGTCATACAAAGTGTCAAAGCAGACGCAAAAGCTTTTTTTATATTTACATAAGCTGACGTGAAGCTGCTGAAGAGGAAAATAATAGAAAAGCACAGATTAGCAAAAGGGGCTGCCACTAAGTCTCCCAGATACGTGTAAATTAAGAGATAAAAGAATAACCATACAAATAGGATCTTGTCTGGTGCTGGTCACAGCCTATGGATGAGTAATGCTGTGGTTCTTACTATGACTACAAGATGCCTTCCTAATTAACCACAATAAAATGTTGAAAAAAAAAGGTTTGCTTACTCATAGGTCTTGAGAAGGACACAGCACACATGGGGCTGCATAGTGAGGTCACAAGCCTGGCACTCTGCTTTTATGGAGGTTGAGAGTGGGGGCCTAGGGTGGTGAATTTAAAACTTAAGACTGAAAATTTAAAGCAAGGGAAGAGAAAAATCAAGCCACCCAAATGGCCAGCTGCCAGAAATCAACGAAGATCTCTAAAACAAAGGACTCTAGGAGGCTGGGCTCAAGGGATGGCAGGTGGTGTGGCTCTTTGTCTGGTGGCTGGCAATGTATTTATTCAAGACTGCCATCTTTGAGGTGTAGGTCTCAGCAATCAAAGCTTAAGGGAGTCACTTGCACTAGAAAAAGGCAAAAACAGCTTACACTGAAGAAGCCCTGTTTTCAAAGCCAAAGTCCTTCTCAGAGATACCTCCCATGGCCTTGTGGTCAAAGAGGTCTCATTTGACTATTTTCTCTTTCAGGCCCCTTTGTGCCTTTTTCACAGCACTTATTTTAATCTGTAATTATTTCCTCTATTTTCTTACTGTTTTTGTGTCTTCTCCCTGACTAACACTAACAGCCCATGTTTATCTTATCCACCATTATATGCCCCTTGCCTCTAACAATTCTTTCTTGAACGTAGGAATTTAATAAATATTTTTGAGGGACTGTGAGAAAGTCTGGACCAGTGTTTCTCAACATTTTTTTCACTATCACTCCCTGAAGGGGCCTTTTTTGACAATTTTATGTAGCCAACTCCCTCCTCCATGAAACATTAAGACCACAGATATACTGTATATATGTTTATGTACTGTATACATACCTATGTTTTATACATAAAAATAAGACATTTTTCACCTCACAAGAAACAATTTTTGCTGCCTTGAGGATGATATTGTTACTGGACATAAACACAGGTTCTTTACCCATCACACAAGAAGAGTCAAATAAAAACTGGACTGCCAGGCTTATGTCAAGGAAAGGGTTTTTATTTTATTTGATATCAGCTGGGAGAAGAGAATCAGCCCCCAAATTCCTCTCATCTCCCTGGAAGATGGGAGGCAAGGGGTTTTAAAGATTGCAAGGAATGTGGCTGCTTGTAGGGAGGGGGAGACTGTGGCCTTGCTGGTTGGCACTTTCCCACCAGCCTATATTTGGCCTTGTGAGGCTTCTTTCAGGGAGGAGGGTGGTGAGATAAGGGAAGCCACAGGTGGGAGTCTTTGATCGTCTGCTTCCATGGTGGGTGGTAGATTCTGGTACCAGGAATCTGCAGAGTTGGGGTCTGGGAAGCTTCAGCTTCTTGATATGCTCTGGATATCAGTTTCCCTGTAATAAAACTGTTGATAAGGGGCATAGGTTGATTCATCTCTTTGAACCAGTCTCTTACTAAGGCGGTGATGCAGGTGGGCCCCCAAGTTAGGCCAACATTGTGTAAGTAAGTAATCAGGTATTTAATAAGAAGTATTTCCAGATAAACAAAAAGAAAAAACAAGGTTAATGGTTCGAGCAAGTTATAAACCAGCTCCTGAGCCCAGGGGCCAGCCAATCAAGAAGATTTCTAGAAGTCAGTGTCAAAGCATCTTTTGCAGTTTGAAAGGTCTCTGATGGTGTCACCAGGCACTCAGGTATATTTCTGAGTGGCTAATATAGCAACAGACGTGAACATTTTTTAAGTTTATATCAAGATGTTCAGCTTCAGTTTGCAGGACTTCAGGAAAAAGGGTAGGTTCAGTTCTCAATGATTCCAAATGAAAATGATGGGAAAAATTGAAAATGTTAGTTTGGAGATTTGTAGACAGATATTTCAGGAGACTAGAAGAATTCAGGATCCAGTCAGTTTTACAGATGGAAAACAAAAACCTCAGAGACAATTAACAGAATCAAAATCTAACATCCACAAAGTTTTTATTGAAAAGTAATTTTTCTCTCTAAAATCACACTCATTTTTATCAAAGATAGCCAAATTAAGACTCACTGTTTGTAAAATAAGTCTAGTTTTAAAAAACTTATCCCAATTGTCTACATAAGTACAGTAAGAATAGTAATTTATATAGGCTATTTTAAATCTGCTTTGCTGGAACTTTTAACAAGGAATTGTTAAAGTTAATTTAAATTGTTAAATTGTTAAATTGACCCCAACTCTGCAGATTCCTGGTACCTTTAAATTGAAATTTAAAGGCCTCTTGAGGTCAGGAAACCCATACCAAGGACTTGTTGTCAGATTCTGTCTGTAATACCTATAGATTTGGGTGATTTCCTCTCTTTTTTGAGGTTCCCCACAATAGTTTGAGGTTCCTTGCACTTGCCAGAAAAGTGACATTCTTTACTTACCTGGTAAGGCTGCTGGGAACCCTGTAAGCAAGGTGTTAGGCCAATATTTACCAAATGGCTTTACTCCATAAATTTAACCTTCATTCTTAAAAGTTGTCTGGTCATATCTGAGTCTATATATATTTTTCTCAAATATGATATTCCAGTCAATGCTTTGGTTATACAACTAGTGTTTTTCAATTGCATCCTGACGTAAGGAAAAAAGATTCTTATTGAACTTATGCAAACAACCATATTATCATGAAAACAATACTAATTCACTAAGAATTTCCAAATTCTGGTGGAATCAGGTAGGAAGAAAAAGACAAATTTTTTAAACTTGTTTACAAACTGCTATAAGACATAGTTCCTTAAGAGAAATGAGAAAAAATTTCCTTAAATATAAAAAAAAATTTGAAAATCAGCAATATTTCAATCAAAAGTCATAAAAATTGGACACATCCTTACCACTTCATTTGGTTTCATGTAATCAATTCTTGATCTTCTGTTACCAATTTTATGAAGCCATCAGCTTTTCACTTACAGTTCTGTAATTTCTTACCCATTTCAGTTTCATAATCTGAAAGTTTATTAGAAACCTGTATTCTAGAGCAAGGATAAGAGTCCTTTCCATGAATCTGGCTGAAGATGAAACATATTTTCAAAAAAACCCAGAGTAAAACAGCTGGCTGAAAATGACAAAAGACTTAAAAATGGCAATTGACTAAGAAACTGGCTATTTCTGTGACATACAACACTTTAAGATAATAACCAGAATTGTGACTCACAATCAGTACAGATGAGAATTTTAGGAATGTTATACAACTTTTAAAACGCATATCAATAACATTTACCCACATAATATAACCTAGGAAGGCTTATTATCATTTATTTTATAATACTTCCCATGTAGTTTAACATACCAAATAAGTTTAGTTAGTTTAATATCTTCCTCTTTGCACAAAGAGTGAACAAATTTTGAGAAGTTTCAGAGTTGATTGGAAATTCTCAATTTTCTTAAGTCAAAAGAAGACTTTAAGTTTGGAGGAAGTTTTTCAAAAATATCAAAAGGTTTTAAAACGCTTGGTCCAATAGCAAACAATACTTAGGTATCCATTCAACCAAGGTGACAACAGAAGATGTCAAAAGTAAACAGAGAGTCAAAACAGTCAAAAAACTTTAATTAAGAGACTTCAGTGATTTTGAACACAGGGAATTATTTTAACAAAGCATAGATCTTCTATCTTTTAGGTAGACTTACTCAAAAATAAAGAAAAACCTGTTATAACTTCTTAATCAAGAGCAGGTCAAATGTTCAAGAGAATCATCTTTTTAAGAGAGAGAAAGTCAAATTCTACTTTTACATCAGCTTGCTTTTGATCTTTAAATGTAATTATTAATTAAATTCATTTTAATCTTAGTCAATTTGACAATGTATAACTGTTTCTTCCTCAGGATTATTTCTCCATAAGCTTTGTATAACTTCCTTTTTTACAATTAGAATTTGTCCCATGTCTCCTTTTTTCCCTCCTAGTACTTTAGGACAAATTTATCTTTCTTTAACAAAATAAACAAAAATATACCCATTTTTTATACCTCTTTTACTGAAAACATTCATTTTACTTTCCTCGTGTACGGACTTTCTAGAAAAATGAGCTTTCCCATAGAAAATTCCTCAGCATGCACAAAACATGTTTATCAACAAACTCAAGCATCTTTCCATTTCTTTTACATAAGAAACCAAAGGCAGGCAAATGTATGGTTAGTAATCAATTTTTAATATTTTATCTTATGTGGAAATGAACTAGATACTCAACACATTTTATAATTTACTTAGTTTAGCAAAACTAAAGTTTTAAGCTAACAAAAAGATTTTGAAAGTTATTTTTCAAATGTATATACCACAAAACATAATTGTTAAAAATTCGTCCAAGAACTTTTATCTTTTTTAATCTATCTAGTTTATCTGTCCTCAAAAATTATATGTATATTGTCCACAAAAACCTCATGAGACATCCAAAAAAATCAGCTATTACTATGAGTTACTAATCTCACTGACAAATTTTGTAACAGAGAAAACATGAGCTTATTTGACCAGTAAACCCAAGCTGTATGTCCGCATCATATCCAATACTGATAACTTTGAGGACACAACTATGTTAGATCAAAACAGCAAACTTAAATAAGCTTTTATTTATTTTATGTTTTAAAG